AGCTAGGTAGATGACCTGAGGGAGAATGAGGAACCTGGGATAAATTTAAGATATCCATGCACATACCTGTCTTAGGTGCAAAAATGTTCAGAGGCTCCTGATTCTGGTCACCTTTTAGAACTTAGTCACTACTTTTTTTTTTTTTTTTAGGCTGGTAATGCTTCCTTCTTGTTCTTTCCAAGAACACCTTTCTTAGCTTTCCTTATTTTTTGTTCTGCTTAGGGACTCTTAAATCACACACTGGCAGCCACTTCTCTTGCATGGATGACTGTTAACTAACTGTTGCTCATAACAAATACCGGTTGCTTGGCTGACCTGCAACACCCATCAATAACCATGTATTATCATAACCCAATAACCACAAGCTTCCCAGTGAAAACCAGCTGAGTGAAACAGCTGGTTCTGATGGAAGAAGAAACAATTTTGAAACCCTTATTTACAGAATATTTTGTTTCTTAAGTTGCAAACATGCAAGAGCCTATTGCAGACTGCAGTTTAGGAGTGTTCTTGGCCTTCTCTGTGGCACTGCATTCTCACACTGCAACACTGTCTAGAAATTCCAGTTTTGTAAGAAACAGTCATTGCTGCTGGCCAACCACCAGACCTTATTTATTCACAAGTTTGTCATTCCTCAGCTGATTACAGCTCTACTGTATGGATGGATAATATGTCATCCATATTTACGGAGTTTTGAGAAGTCCATAATGCTGTGGCAGATCTTAGAAACACAAGCTATTTGTAGGCATATCAAACCAATCTCTCCAGCTTTCCATAGAATTTAAATTAAATTCATTATCTCAGTCTTATCTTCAGAGAATATAATTTCCAGCACAACTATGGCTTCAAGATAATAACTGTTGTTGACAAGAACAGCACTCTTGCCTGTGGAAGTAAGGGAGTTTTTTCGGGACACAATTTACAGTGAGCTGATTGCAAACAGCAAAATGAAGTTTTCAAAGACACAACAGAGTTCACTGTCCAAATCCAATCCCAACTATAAAGCAGATTTATTTTACCTAGCCTTCTTCAATCTAAATGTCTGTTTTTTGAAAATATCCATTTGTTTTTCAGTAATTAAACCCCCGACTATGAAAACAAAATGTTTCCCATGCTCTTGCTCTTGGGGAGAGATTAGAATACAAACAACATGCAGTGTATTCTAGTAGTGCAGAAACTTCCTTGATAACACCCTTTCACTTTGTAATACATAATGCATTATGTCATGTATTTAATGTTGTATGTGTGCAGTGGTTCAGAAGAGATTCTTAATACAAATAAGGGGCTATGAAACCATGCCATAATATTTTCTTACGATGAAAGCAAGTTAGATGTACTTTAAAGATTATGTAAGTACTTGGATACTTATTTTCAACATTGCCATTGTTTTTCTTCCCCCCATATCAAATGGAACTTGCATACCATCCTCCTCACCAGCACCAGTCTTTTGCCTAGTTCAGATGTGTCACTTATAGATCTGTAGCCTCTGTCTGTTAGTAATTCACACACACTAAAAAAGTTGTTAAAATTTGACACATTGCAGAGCTTTTGACTCTTTTGACTCTTAGTTCAGTCACACACTAAATGCCTAAATTAGTTTGGGGATCAGAAGACCCAGAAAGACTTGACAGACCCACTACAGTGGGTCTTGACAGACCCACAGACAGTGCAGAGATGGTCTCCTGATTCCTACATCATAATCTGCAGGCAGTGCACACTGGAATAGGTACCGTTTGCGTGATGGAATATGGGTGTAACCACCATCTTCTTTTATTTTTTGTCTCAGAAAAGCTGGCAAATGCATAACTAATATAATTTGTTACACTTTTTGGAAAGTAACAGATGGCAATCAAATTCAAGCACAGGAAAGTTTTGTTCATAACTGTAGTTGGATTGCAGTAAAAGCACTATTAATATTACATTTTGAAAAGTTGCAGGACCAATTTATGCCCTGCATAAAGCAATCTCCACACTGCTTTATTAACATTAGTGAATTTTGCTCATGTCTGTTTTCCAATTTGCCAAAACATTTGTGAGAAGTAAAGGCCCAATAGAGCAGTGATTGTGACTGACTTCAGTTTATTGGTTGTGTGGTGCATACAAAAACAACTCATCTAGGGGTGTCCTGATGGGATCATTCCAGAACTATCATCACTGGTTAGCTTGAAACAGAAGAACTTACAAGTGGTACAGGGAATTTTTTCATAAGACTTATCTCTGTAATCTCTTTTCCCCCTAGCACTTGATGAGCATTGTTGATGGGGCTGTACAATAGTGTTCTTGTGACTTGCAGCTGTGTTTTTCAAATGAATATTTGTCTTGGATTCTATGTGGAATCTCTCAGCAGCTTTTATTGATGTTTCTTGTAAATGTTAAACACTACAACAATTCTTTGACTTTCTGCACCATCGTGTACTGCTGATAACTAGGTACTTGTTAACTTTGTTTATTTTTTGGGTCACACTCACTCCATCAATGATGGATGGCCTGCTGCGGTTTCAGTACGATTTGCATTCCACACAGTCCCTCTACCAAAGTTGCCTGCTTTCTTCTCCATAGTGATCTATCCAATGTTGTCCTTGTGTAATGAATAAGACAGAGAGAGTATGTCTGCTTGGAGCAACACTTCTGGGGTTTTTTTATTATGTTGTTGTTGTTACATCCTTGTCTGTTTTGAATATTATTATTTAGAGATCCTTGCACTTCTTGCTCTTCTTTGATGACTGAAAATATTCTGACCTTCTCTCTGGAAGTACACTCATGAAATTTCTGTATGAAATAACCACTCTTGAGATGATTTTTAAAATAATTACAGGTCCGCTCACCTACTTTATGTGCTTTTAGGAGGTCATCAATACCATCTGGCAGGGCTGGCTGGTAATCTGACAAGATCTTTGGTCATTATTGGTTGGCTTTATCTTAAGAATTTCAAGCAAGTCTTCAATACCTGGCCTTTTGGAAGTCTAATTATCTGTACTTTTTCAGATATTCACTCAGATACATACTCTGTTCTGGAGATCTTTGGCTGTTTCATGTCTTTTATGAGCTACCTTATACTAATATTTTATGGTTAGCAGCAAGACGGTATTTAGCTGCAAACAAAATCTCTTTGAAATAAATTGGCTTGAAACTAAATCCCTTTAACCCCCTGGTGTCTGAGTGGACTTCTTCAGTTGAGCTGATCTAGTGGAAAGAAAGGGAGGTCCTGCTTCCTTCTGGCTCTGCTGTGCATTTCTGTCCTCTCCCTTACATAGTCACTGCTTTTCATTTAACCCTATTCATTTCACATTTGCAGGGATATTAATTCTTTGTCCACTTATCCGTCAGAAATGGCTCATCGTGAGTTCAGATGAGCACTGCTACTGGTGAAGCAGCAGATAGCCACAGATAGAAAGAGGAAAGCAAGGCAATGCCCTTGGTACTAGCCACATTAGATCAACACAGCTACAGCAGGAAACTGTACCTTGAAAGTATTTTTTCCTTTTATTTTTAATATAAGATGATCTAACTCTGTGCTGTGTATCTTCCCCTACCTGCACATTCCTAACTCCTTCCTTATTTTGGCTCTAGCAATTCTGTGATGAGTTGGATCAGCCTGGTTGCTGATCAACACTTTGCTTCCCTGAGAACCCATAATTTCTTTGCGTGTGTTAGTTTTCAAGTGGATCTGACTCACCCTATGGTTGTATGATTACTAGAACTGATGCAAGGGAGGTAATGGAAATATCTTCCTGAAGACAGAGGACAGGTCAAAGCCCTATTTTACAGTTGGATCAGTGTTAGATCAGTTTGAGTCAATCATGAGGCTGTAGTCATACAAATTTTCAGCTGAATCTGCTGCCTGAAGAAACAGTCCTGATTCCCTGCCCAGTGAATACAATCCTTTCTAACCCTGTGCCACCCCCATCTGACACTGATCAGGTTCACCATGCAACACAGCTGGCTGTATGGTTGCAGGATGATCAGAACAATGAGGTGAACAACCAGTTTTTCAGGTTAACACTTCAGGCTGACTCCCCAGCCTGGCTCTGCCTGCAGCAGGTTGGAGGCTGGTGCAGAGCTGGAGGGATGGAGGTACTGTCTCCATCAGGGGCTCTTACCTGGGAGCCATTGCCCCAAAAACGGCACTGCCCCAGCACACACACATGGACACCTCCCAGCTCTGATCAGCACCTCCAGTGGTGGCAGGGACCACCTCACCCCCTGCAGGGACCACCCCACCCCATCCTGAGGCAACTGGCCCCTGCGGGCCTGCAAAGCCCCTGCGAAGCCCATGTTCACACTTGCAGCTGGAGCCGACCCCATTCTCCCCTGCCCCCCTCAACAGCTGCCCCACAGTGCCACCGTCTTGGGTGACCCTGGTGAGGCCACATCTGGAGTGCTGTGTCCAGACATGGAGCTCCTGGAGTGGGTCCAGCGGAGGGCAATGAGGATGATGAGGGGACTGGAGCATCTCTCTTACAAGGAAAGGCTGAGGGAGCTGGGCCTCTTCAGCCTCAAGAAGAGACTGAGAGGGGACCTCGTCAATGTGTATAAATATCTAACAGGGGAGTGCCAAGAGGACAGAGCCGGGTTCTGCTCGGTGGTGCTGAGCAACAGGACAAGAGGCAGCGAACAGAAACTGATGCACAGGAAGTTCCACCTGAACACGAGGAAGAACTTCTTTACTGTGCAGTGATCGGGCACTGGAACAGGTTGACCAGAGAGGGTGTGGAGTCTCCCTCACTGGAGATATCCAAGAACTCGACGCTGCACCGTGTGCTCTGGGATGACCCTGCTCGAGCAGGGAGGTTGGACCAGGTGTCCCACTGTTGTCCCTCCCAGCCTGACGCACTCCCGGGCCCCGTGACTCCTCCTTCCTGGTCCCGCCCCCAGCCCACAGGCCCCGCCCCCTTCCCCGCCTCCGGGCGCGCGAGCCTAGCGCGCGCGCAGTCGCGCGGTAAACAGGCTCCGCCGGCCCCGCCCCCTCGCACCGCCCCCGCGCGCAGGGGCCGCGCGCGCGCCGGCGGCTGCGCAGTGTGGGCACATCCGGGCACTGGGGCAGGATGAGCGCTCCTTTCCAAGATGGCGGCGGAGGGAGGAGGGAAGGAGATGAACGAGATTAAGACCCAGTTCACCACCCGGGAGGGGCTGTACAAGCTGCTGAGCCATTCGGAGTACAGCCGGCCCAACCGCGTGCCCTTCAACTCGCAGGGCTCCAACCCCGTCCGTGTCTCCTTCGTCAACGTCAACGACCAGAGCGGCAACGGGGACCGGCTCTGCTTCAATGTGGGCCGAGAGCTCTACTTCTACATCTACAAGGGGGTCCGCAAGGTACCGGGGCTGCCCCGCCGGGATGGGAGGGGAGCGGCGGGGGCTCGGCGCCGCCCGCCCGCCGGAGTGCGGGAGCCGCGGGGCCGCGGCGGGGGCGGGGGGCAGAGGCCGGGCCGCCCCTCCCGCCGGGTCCCCCCGCCCCGCGGCCTCGGCACCGGGGCTCCGCGGCTCCACCGCGCTCCCAGGGAACCAGGGAGCGGCTGGGCAGGGGGAGCGCGGGCCTGGGCCGAGGGCGTTGCGAGGGCACCGCGCGGGGTCGATGCTGGGGCTGCTCCACATACGGTGCCCCCGCCGGGAGTTCTGTGTGCGAGCCCTGTGCGGGGATGCGATCGCTGGAGATCGTGCGGGAATGAGGACTGGCGTTCCCTCCCTGGGCCTGCTTCACCTGCTGCTTCAGGTCAGAATTTGCTGGACACACTAATGCCTGTTGTGATTATGATGGTGTCAAATCCCTGCTTCCAGGATCCCTCTAGCTTTGTTTGCATGGCTGAAGCGTTCACTGCAGTGTTAGGCCTTTATTGTGACTTCGAAGTGTGGGCTGATCCTAGGATTGTTTCTAAATGGGAGTGGTGCAGTGAACTGAGTCTTAAATATCAGATAATTAACAGAGAGAAAGTTGCTTTTGCATGAAAGAACCATTGATGCACTTGAGAGAGAGAGAGAGAGACTCCTTACCTGTCGTTATTGGATGCAGGACAGTGCATGCATTTGATCTCTCAGGTCACCATATTTATGAACAAATTGTTCATAACAACAGCTATTGTTTCTTCAGGTCCTCGATTTTACAGGATTCAGAGAACAATTTGAAATTTGTCATGCCAAGTGAACGTGTGTCACTCCCAATATACGTAAACACAGATAATAACGATTGTCAGCTTTCTATTTCATGTTTCAAAAAGTGGGCGGATGTTATTTTGTGTGCTTGGGCCTCAGCTGCCATGATGTGAATACTTGGAAATGTTCCTGCTCTTTACCCACCGTTCAAAGTGGGATGAGGGCACAGGGAGCTAGAGATGTGAGTAAGGCTGTGCAGGAAGCTTGTGGATGAGCAGGGAATTATACCTGAATCTGCTGTGTCCTAAGCCAGTGCCCCAGCACTCCTCCTCTGTGTAAAACGTCAGCACCAACAGGAGAATAAAGTCTGCGTGGTTATTTGTTGACTGTGACTTAACAGATCTAATATGTCCTGTTATATGGAGAAGTGTGTGTGTGTATTTTAGTTTCACCCTTTTATGAATTTTAATAATCAGTTATGTTTCAAATAACGTTTGGACAATAGTTTCTTTAAGCATACAAGGAGTATTTCATATCAAAGTTTTTGCTGTTTACAAGCAGTTGCTATCTTTACAAGGTATTGTGGGGAGCAATGTCTCTGAAAATCTGTATCCTAAATTATTACTGTGTTTGGGTTCTGATATCTTACATTTGTTTTTTCCATGCAAAGTAACTGCAGAATTCTCTCTCTTCACTCACAGAGCAGGCCTTTATGTAGTTTAGTAATGGTACATGTGATTCTTACAAGTTCTCTTAGTCATCTCTTGCCACACTTCTGAAAAATAAAAATCTGAAGCCTGGAACTTCATTGAAAATAGGGAATAGAATAATTATTTCAAATTACTAAAATAGCTTTGAGCTGAGATACTTAAAGTTACCGGTGTGATACAGAGTAACTGAGAAATTTGGGTTTGTGAGGTTGTGAATTCTGAGCTCTGAGACTTTCATACCTGTTACAGTGTGAAATGCTTTTTTTTCTGTGAATAGAGTAAAACATACACATTGTTAGAATTAATTTCAGTGGCCTTTTACAGTGTAAACAATTTAGGATACCACTGTATATTCTCTATATATAATATATTAGTAAAGTGAACTTAGGGAACTAGCTGAAATAGGTTAAATCACGCTTAAGGAAAATGCTTTAAATGAGAACAGGGAAGATGTCTGTCTCATATCTGTAATACTTGCTGCTCTGGAATTTATTTTGAAACTATTCACTTGGAAGTAATTGTTTTGTCTGTGTACAAAGTTGACATAGGAACAGGCTGACAGCCTGTCAAGTGATCATTTGAGCTTTTCAGAATCAGAAGTTGTGTCCTGTGCCTGTCACAGAGGGGAGAGAGCTGGTGTTGCCTGAAAGGGCAGTGGGTAATTATGCCTTAAACTGGACAAACTATCACACTCTGCATGCCTTCCTGTTCTTGGGGACAGGAGGGGGAGAGGAACTTGACCTGTTCAAGACTAACCTGCGTGTGATCCTCTGCATAATACAGATGCTGATAACTTCAGTTTTAACCGTTAGCTCACAATTATTTAAGTATCCCTTAAAAAATTTCCCTGATGACTATAATTTGGCTAAGTCATATTAGAGTATTGAGTTGAATTTAGTGAAACTCTGCTGTGTGAATGTACCAGCTGGCTACAATTTATCTTTTTTTTCTCATCTTTTTTAAGGTCTGCTGCTTTTCTTGATGAGAAAATGCTATATTTTTCCTAAAATGAGTGAAAGAACCACCAGGGCTTTGTTTTAAGTAACCATGTCTGTTAGATACTGGGATAATTCTTGCGTCAGTAATCCCCTGCAGATCAGTACACATCAAGGAAGAGTAACACTTAAGCCATGAATGACACTTAAGAATAAATAATGTAATATTGAGTCAAAGATACCACTTGACATCAGTGATGCTAATCTTCTTTTAGTTTCTCTTTAATCCTAAATGCATTGCATCTGCTACATCTAATTTGTAAGTCACCTTTTTAAGTTAACTGCTGAGGTATGTATTCTGTTCAGGATATTTAACCTATACAAACAAAAATGTTTCCAGGGATGTTTCTTTAAACTTGATCCTTCTTCCAACACACTTGGTGGAGAAGCATCAAGAACAGTGGTGTGGAGATTGGAGTACAAATGGACAGTGATAATAGTTTGGTAGGGAGACCCGAGAGAGTTTTGGACAGCGTTTCAAGCTGTCTTTAGAGACTTTTTGAAGCAAAATGGTATTTTTTTTCAGCTTTGTTCTTCGCCTCTTTAAAAGGGAAGCTGAGCTTTTACTGTTTAATGTTTCCATGTTACTACTAAATTTTACTATTGTCATGAAACATGTTACCATGTTTCATGTTTTCTGTGTCCTAGAAAGTTCATCAATTATGAGCCAGCGCATTGTTGTTTTTGTAATGAAACTCATGCAGGTCTCTTTGTGTTCATAAAGCAATGCAGGCTTCCAGAAAACTGCTGTTTTCTGATTTGGATCCACTGAAAAAAGAAATGAACCTGTAGTTTAGTATGGAGAAGTTAAACTGTGATGGAATGATCTAAATATGTAATTGTTTTCAGCTGCACTGAGTGTCAGTGGGATTTCCCTTTCCTTCCTCCTTAACTTTGGCTTTAAGGTTAGATGTGTGCAGTGATCTCCAGTTAAACCCAAGGGATATATTTTCATGAACTCAACCGATCTATCAAGAACTGTAAATGATGGTCTAGCACTGCAGGATCGTTTGGCAGTGTGCTCCTACCTCCTTGTCTTTGGCAGTGCTCAACCTCTGGTTGAGCTAGTTCAGCTTGCTAAACCAGCAGCAAAGTACTTGCTGGTTTTCTGTGCAGATTTTCTCTTGGTTTGGTGAGTTGAACTGTCATCTTGGGATTGAATATTGGCAGGTACAGTGAGAGCAAGGAAAGGATTCGGGGGCACTACCCCCTTCAGTGGCCTGGCCTGTCTGCTTGGATCCACTGCCGCCTTATTATTCAGGTCTCTCCTGAATAAAACCTCTACTTCAGCCTTGAGTCAGTTTTGGACTGATCTATTCTTGGGGAATTGTTGAATTAATTTTGATTAAGAGAGTTATGGGTGATAGAGGAAGCCTTTTTTATTATTTTAGGCATTTCCTTCTTCATTGAGTGAGGGTATATAGTAATATAGGGGATAGTTCAAAATTTATTGTTCAAATTATGATGCATTTATGCTTTGGACAGGTTGCCTTTTCCTGCAGCCCCAAATCAGGAGTGAGAGCTGTTGTTTGATTCTTGCTTATGAGACAGTCTTGGAGTACTTAAATATGGTTTGTGGCTAGGCTTTGCAAAATGATTTATTAGTTGATTCATTAAGCTGGAAAAGGAGAGCTCTATCTCATCTTTCTTACCTTAGGAATGACTGACAAGACAAGGCTTTCTAGATTGCTACCGACATTAACTGTCAAATTCTTTTCCCCTACTGGGAAGTTGGTGCATTTTCCTGTGAGAAGTTGTGTGTGATGATGTGTTATTCTCTGTGTGTTGTAAAAGTTTTCTGGGCAAGTTAGTCTGCAGCTGTCACTGCAATAGAACCATGTAAGGTCCCTATTAACAACTGTGTTGCATGGTGCACCACCTTAATTTTTCTGTAATATATTGGCAACTTATGAAATTTGATTGTATAGTGCAGCTGATTACGTTACGTAAAACTTTCTGCGTTGTATTTAAATTCTGGCTACCTGCTGTCTTTAACCTGTGGCAGACTTTCCTAACGTTGGTTGTTTCATTTTTTGAAACCACTTTCTCGCAAAAAGAAACGTTGTCTTCAATTCTGCTTTTTTCTTACAGCTACCCGAAGCAGCAATTTGTTAATAACTATGGAGTATTATGGTGTGTTGCAGTAGTATTGGGGTAGAAACACATGTAGGTGATAAGCACAGCTTGGTGGAGGCATGGAAGGCAGAACTTGTTGACTGTCTTCTTAACCTTACATAGAACAGGTGGCTTAGAAATTTTATTTGTACTAAGATGAAAATAATCTCATCTCAACTACTTTTGTTGAGAGTTGGCATAGTGGCAGTTCCTGGCTATCAGTAAAAAGGTTGATGACGTGTAGGATTCCTTCCTTTGCAGTTCTCAAAATTACCTTTTTTTTATGTCTGGCTTGATATGGGAGTATTTGTTGTCCAGTTGAGAAGTGTTATCCTTGGTGGTGGCTTTCATTCCACAGATTGTTCACCTGGGGTCTTGTTGCAATGACAGTGTCAGTGAGTGGCAT